ATATAAGACACAAAGATATAGGGAATATGTAAAAAAACAAATAAAAGAAAAGAAGAAGAAAAAAGTAAGATGAGAAAAACATGAGATTTTTCACTCACGCCAGATGGCAATAATTATAAGCCTATATCAGGCTCTTTAAAAATTACATACTACTATGTAAACTATTCTCTATACTAATTTTTTCCGGATATTCATTCCGGACTATCACATTATCATTCGGAGCACAACCTCTATCCAGGAGTGTTAATTGCGTAAACATTTGTGCTAATATTTCAAAATAATATAAATAAGTTTATAATGATATAAATAGTTTCACTTTTTCATAAAAATCCCAAAAGCTAATAAATCAACATTATTAAATGAACCTGAGATTCCTATTTCCTTTTTTATTGATCAAGCTACTGTTAAAAATACAAAAAGTTCTACTACCAATTGCTCAAAATTGGCACACAATTGCTACTGGGCAGATTAACATCCCTAATTATGTGCTATATAATACAGTCTCATACGTGTTAGCGTTTTATTGTGTCAAAAATTTTTGTATGTATTGTGTATGAGCATTTACAGAATAATATACTACTTACTGCGCTAATATTATTATCATGTCTTTATTATTCAAGGTTCACCACATTTGCACGACATTTTATCTTAACAAATTCTTTTAATATTTACCTGAATGTCTTTGTAAATTATATAAATAATACAGATCAAACGCTCTCAATATATCCTTAAGCCTTGTTTTTATTAATATTATTTGAAAATATTGTAACTTTACAAATATTCAACTATTATTACTAAAAACTGAGATTCGAATGCTTCATGATCCTATAAAAAGGTTTACCTAAAGTCGTAAGGTTATTTCTATTGACTATTATACCGAAACCAAATTTTGAAAAATGCACCATCACGAAAATCATCCATACACCATGAATTCTTAATAGAATGACTAAAAATCGAGATTCAAGTGCTTCATGAGCTTTACTTATAATTATAAAAATCGTTTCCTTTGAACATTATGCCAAAACTAAGCGTTAAACAGGTTGCACGTTTAAAAAAAATTTTTCGAAAAAAGTATCGTCATGAAAATTCTGAGTTGTGTGTTCTCAAACGACTCCCTCAATAGGTTTGTTGAACGACCTGATTGGTTGAAAAAATTGACTGTGATTATCATTTAGGCAACTTAATACATTAACTTGTTTTATCTGATTAGTCTTCTCTGAAATTAAACTAAATTTCAACAAAAAAATTTATCAATAAATTTAATACATAAAAATAAAATAAAATAGAATAATAAAAATAATTTATCCGCAAATTTCTAACGATTATTCTATCGGTGACTCTTTTAATGGTAATCCATAAAGAACACGATTGATTCCTTCTAATTCACTACTTCCAATAGTAATTCTTCTTAATTCCAACTTTAATGACATTAAACCAAGCACAAAAAAACAACCCATAAATAAAACAAATATAATCAATTCTATAACTTTAATTAGTTTTAAAAGCCAATTTCTTTCGTTTGTAATTTTATGAAAAAAAAATCTAAAAAGTTCTTTTAAATCAACTTCTGGATCATATTCCCCAAATTTTTTTTCATTTGTTGAAACATTCTGTTCTGCCTCTCCTTCTGTTGGCGACAATTTAGTAAGCATTTCCTCTGTCGAGAATGGAATAATGAGTTGAATTAAAATCATAACACAAATGGAATAATATAAGATGAGCGTTGAACATAAAATAAGTAAAATGTCGAGTATTTGGAATATAAATTCATCATCACTAAGAATTAAATAAAAAACCGAAACTAATGCCAACATGAGGACAACTAATGATGCGACAGTAACAATTACGCTACGACAAATCGACATAAATTTCATATGCCTATTTAGTCCTTCTAAAAACTTAAATATACGTTTTTGATCCGCATAACGTTCTTGTAATTTGTCTACATATTCTGTGTTAACGACACTTTCTCCTTGAGTTTCAGTTTCAGTTTTTTTAAGCGTCTCCAGAATATTCTGATATTCTGCTGCATCCTGATCAGCTTCTTTAAAGAGACTTTTAAGACTTGCCAAACTTCCAAGAAGAGTCACTGAACCTCCCGTTCCGATTACAGAAGTAGAAATAACATTCTTGATTTCTTTCGCAAAAGTAGTTTTCTCAAAAATGAAAAGAAAAACACCAAATAAAAGAGCAAATGAAGAAACAACAATCGAAATAACTGTATGCTTGGCAGATTCAAAGTTGTTCTTTCTCCATGTGTCTAATTCTTCTTTTATTTTTTTATGTAAATATTCGTTTTCTTTTTGTAATAAGGTCTCTTTATAAGACATGTTTTCTATTTTAATAATCTCTTTATAAGACATTTTTTTAGAACTAAGCAAAATTGGATATATTGAAGAAGAGTGAACCCTTATATCACATTTTTACATGATCACATTTATAATATCCTTTGTATACTCATAGCGGGTTTGTATTACGGTTTGTACTGCGTTATGTATAAAATGTGATACAAGGGTTCACGCTTCTTCAAGTGCCCGCGAAATTTGGATTAGACGCAAATTATTGAATGGTGATTACAACTTTAAAAATTACGTTATTTACTTTTTTGCTGACATATCAATAAAAATAATGCATTTAATTTGTACTAACGATATTTCTGTTTACGTTGAAAGTATCCTAATTGGTTCACTTATATAAGCAATGAATGCTGCCGAGGAAAATCGGGATTGGGGCTTTCGAGTTTATAGCCAGCCTACAGTTGTTAGACAAAACCATTCTGTTCAAATGGCGAAGATGGAATCTAAACCCAGTGGAAGACGAAGACGAAACCCCTGGTGAAATGACGAAACCCTGGCAAAAGGTGACCCTCGGTGAAAGGTGAAACCTCTGGCGAAAATCAAAACTAACAGGGAAGATCAAATCCTCTAAGACTTTAGGAAATGTTGATCAATGTTGGTGGATGAAAACACTTCATGTGGCTATTAAGCACAACATGTGGCTTATATAAAAAATGTACAATAGCAATAAAAAAAGCGGGTTAGGTCAAAATCATCACAAAGTCAATTTTTTATAAAACTTATGTAATTCTATAAT